TTCTTCCGCCGGAGACGCCGACAGCGACCAGAAGGCCGGCGCTTCTTCGCGAGAGGAAGGGCGGCCGGAGCAAAAGCTGCCGTCTCCCTCGGAGGCGGGGGCGGGGGCGGCGGCTGCCGCTGCCGCGGCGCCGGCCGCGCCCTTGGGTCCGGAGGAGGCAAGGGCCTACTCGGAGAACGTGGACCGCACCCTAGAGGTGGGTGTTGTGGTGTTGCGGTTGGTTGGTTTTCTTTTGTGTTTTTTTTCGACCGATGCGCGGAGAGCCTGCCTGTCTTGTCTTGCCTTTGACGGAGGAGATTCAGATTCAGATAGGATGGGTTTGTTTGGATTTGGAAACGATGAGCGCCTCACGACCTTCGCAACAATCCTATCCTAGGAGCATAGCAATGGGAATGTAATTTGGTAGTATCTCCAGTGTTGATGCTGTTTCCACGACGTGTGGGTAACGGTCGTACAAACCCGGTGCACGTTCTTGTGCATTGTACGGTGACGTTACTTGTGCGCGGCCGTCTGTTTGGACGCTCATCTACCTTGCTCTGCGTTGCCGGGGGGGGGGGGTCTCATTCTCACCTATTTAGCCGGGGGATGACGCGAAATGCACGCCCTCAGGTGGTGACGTTCCCCTTCCCTGCCACCAAGAATCAAGAGGTCAAGAGAGCTCTGATGGCGCTTTCGTTGCGGTCCATCTTTTCTACCTTGCTTTTTGTGCGATGCTGTGTATGCCTCAAAGTTTGACTGTGTCTTCACGTGCGCCCGCGTGTGCGTTTGCCCGTTTTGTTGTTATTGTTGTGTGTGTGCGTAACAGGGGCTACCTATTGACGATGGCGGTGTTTCCATGCCCATGAGCGAGCTGCTGGCGAGGGCGGAGCTCGAAGCCTCCGCCGAGCACCCGGCACCGGTAAGCGTGTGTGTGCCGCATGTTTCCAGTGTACGGCGTCCAGCTCTATTTTTTAACCACCTGGATCGGCCACATGGCCAACGAACCAAACCAAGTTTCATCACCGTCTTGGATGAGGTTATTGTAGAAGTGAGTAGACGCGTTTTACATCCACAAGACAACTGCTGCACTGGCAAGTTGGAAGGATGTACCAAGCAACAACGATAACGAATCTCCCCAATGCCAACAACCAACTCTTCTGACCCCCCCCCCCCCCCAACTCCCGGGGCCCTTCCCCGAGGCCA